AACGGCGGGCAGACTAGAGGAAGACAGTATAAGCGTCATGGACCGTGGCGTGGGCGATGCAAGCACACAGCGAAGTCGGAGAAGAGAGGGAGCCTCACGAGGTGTGCTTCCTGAATGCCGACTTGGCCGCGGTACGGGGTATCAATCGACTGGACAGCATGGCGGTAGCTGAGACGGGATGGCGAATCGGCGATCAATAGAAAGGAGTACAGAAGGAAACGAACGGGAGGGGGAGGTGCGAGAGGGAAGGAAAGATATTGTTGCAACAATTGTTCCCTCAGGTGTGTGGATGAGTGGGATAGTTGAATTGACGGGACGGCTCAGTCTAGTGTTGAGCAAGCTTCGGATCGAATTGGAGCTTCCCTCATCAATCATGGGACGGGGGTGCTGAATTTTACGTCTGCCGGGGCGGGCACGTCCAGTAGCCTGCATCCAGTCTCCAGCGGTTGGGTTTGCAGGGATGGAGGTCGCACGTATACGCGTTAAGCGCATAACCCCGATATCCACTCGCTGAACCATGCAATCTAGAGGCCGCCGCTCCCAACGTTCTCCTCTATTCCGTATCATGCGCCTCCGTCATCTCCCGCGTCCAGGCGATCTTAGCCGCAACCCGCCCGGCTACCCTTCCGTCCATACCTACTTCGGCGTCTGTCACGGATACAGCACCGATTCCCCCAGCTAAAGGAGGAGAATTGCTATGAAGCTTAATCATGTCGACAACAGTCTGGAACATGCTGGCACCGGCCCAGATGCTTGCTATACAGAGTCAGGCCACATCTTTGGTCTGCAGCAATTTGCTTGATACTAAACGAGCATTGCCGCCGTTGGACGTTACTAATAGGGTTCACTTCTCCAAGACCCAGTGGATACACCACCACGCGACCGCTGCCGTGTCAATCTGCGATTGTTGCACACGCTCATACGGAAGCCACGTCCACTCGCCCGCCTTCTGGTGCTTGAAATTTGACGTCTTTTCTTCTTGTCTTTCTTCCCTGGGTCTCTTCTATCTACCTATCATTATCGTGTGTAGGCCTTCGTAAAAGCACTTCGGCAGCCTTGCAAGCCAATCTGACCCTCCTGGCGTCTTTCTTGCCGTCTACAAGATCTGTGTCTCGCACCTTTTCCCGCAAGAAGTACGCAATGCTTCGGGCGAGCTCGGGCGCCAGCCCGCTGCTAAACGCCACCCCGAGAGCCTGCTCTAGAGTCTTGTCTTTGGCCCGACTGCACTCTTGAAGCACAGTGATGAGCAACACTTCGACGAAAAGACTTGTCGTGTCCTTTACGTAGGCAAGATTGAGGGCTTTGAGAACACCGAGACTTACAGAACCATCAGCAACCAGGCTGCCCATCATCTTGGCTGTGTTGATTAGCCTGCGATCGTCCGTGGCCTCCTCATCCTCATCCTCTGGTTCCTCCCCGAACAACGGCTCGCCGAGCCGTCGAAAAAGGGTCCATATGGTGTCTTGGAACGCGTACTTGATGCGCGAGTCGCTACAGAACTTCTTAGCTACAAGGGTGTAGTAAGGGTTATAGTGCTGCTGCGCTCCAGAGCATTGGATGAGCACGTTCGGCACCTCGCGTCTGTTGTACTTGTTGAGCTTGAGCTTCAGAATGCGCATGTATGCGTCCTGGTAGTCAGCTGCCGCAACGAGGGCAACAAAAATCGCACGCCGAACATCCGTATTCATGCCTTGTTCTCGCGCAAGCTGTGCATAGTCGAGGGTTATGAGATCGTCGGCATCGGCAGCCACATGATTATCGCCCTCGTCAGTAAATTCATGGTCGCCGTCCGTATTCTTTGTGAAACCTCGAGTATTCTGGACGTCCGCCACTGAAGGTCCGACGCCAGCCCAGCTGGCCCCCACAAGCCACCATTTGCCGGTCTTATCCGCATTTTCGATATCCCGTAAGCCAATTCGGAGTGGTTCCGTGGCCTTCAGCTTCTGGGTATCAAGTGAACCCAAAATCTTTTTCATGCGTGTGACATGGTCGTTGAGAATGACCAAGTCCTGTGCGCCGGCTTTCAGTTTATTGTTCTTGAGGTCGCTGATAGTCTCGATCATGAATTTCGTCCGGACCGTGACGTTACTCTCCCCAATCTTAGCGACTGCAGGACGCATCAGGCTGACAATGTCTTTGAGGGCCAAAGGGTCGTCCTTTCGCAATTGGGGCCCAGCTACGCGAACGACCCGCAGCAAGAGCTCAGCGTTCAGCTCTGAGAGGTCGCTCAGTAGAAGCCGCACAACATCGAACATAAGATTGCTGCCAATGACGCGAAAAATATACGTCTCTGCGAGGACTGTAATCAGGTTGGATGTCTCTTTTGTGGGAACCTGTTGCTGGCTAGCGGCGGTCGTCGCCTTCTTCCTCTCTTGTTGAAACCGCTCCACCGATGTCGTCAGAAAGTGTGCTGCAAAGTCAATGCCGATGACCTTATAAAGAGCAGCGACAAACCCAGCAGACAGAACTAGAAGGGTGTCGGGTTTGCTTGTGGGGTCGCAAATCTGAGCCATCAGTAGTTCCGTCAAAATGCTGTTCGTATGGCCTCTCGGATAATCACGGTAGACTTTCTCAATCTCACCGACAATCGATATCAAGTTTGCTTCGGCAACTCTGTTGACGGGACCCTGCAACTTTCTGCGAATCTGAGCCTCGAGATTGGTGTCGCCTCCCACTCTGGCTCGCATTGATGGCGGTATGTACTTTGAGGACTGTGTACCAGCAGCGACCGGTGGCAAGTATGGATTTTCCCTGACCCGTCTAGGAGCTGTTGGCATATCCTCCGAATCTGAACCGAAACCAACAAAACATTGCTGGTCACTCAAGTCGTCATCGTTGACGCCCTCCGCATCGTCATCATTGATATCCTTGTCACTCTCCTCTGCTGGATCGCTCAAATCATCGTCCTCCGACGGCTCGTCGCCTTGGTCGAAGACTTTGTCATCTTCACCGCTTTCTGAAAGATATGCCGCATTATTTCGAGATCGGTTCGCGTTCCTCCGCTTTTGCGCAAGCCATTGCTTGTATTCACTGGTCTGCTTCGCTTCCTCCTCCTCGCCGCTGCCGTTGCTTAAATCGCCGAGCAGGTCCACCAATCCGTCATCTTTAAAGGCCTGGGGCAGTGATTTCCGACCTTTTCTAAGCCCCAACTTCCGTTCAAGTTGTTCAATCTCAGCGTTGTCTTTGGCTAGTCGGTCGCGAACGGCACGCGAAGGTTTTTTGATGGCGGGCTGTTCGCCCTTGACATCGTCGACATGCTCGGGAGTGCGCCTCTTGCGCTTCTTGGAGGCAGACGGCGGCGATGCGCGCGGTTCTATCGTCTGTAGATGGCTGTCGGCGCGACGGTCTGTGTCGTCCAAACCACCAGCGTCGTCATTGTCATCGTCATCCTCGTTCTCTGGCCTCCGTGCATGGTGGCGTTTGGTGAAATGCGTATCCTGTAAAAGTAGGGATTGGCGCTGCTTCTTGGACTGTCTTTCAAATTTGCGACGGTCCTTCCTGTTCTGATCTTGGCTTTTCCACCGCCCGCGAGATCGAGAGGCACTGGGCTCGCCCGGAGCCCCAATCTCTTGGAGGAGCTTCGGCGGCAAAGAAAGCTGCTTGGGAGGCATTGTCCGGGAGGTTTTAAAGGATTGAGGCCAGTCACCAGATTGGATCCCTTAAGTAAGACGACGAGGGAAGCCAAGATCGAGTGCAAAGGTAGAGAGGCAGCAGAAAAAGCGAAAACGTGTATGCCAATTCTGACTTCCCTTTCAAAAGTCTTCATGGAGCGTCGCCTGTTGGAACTTTTTTATGGAGCACGGAGCTGGTGGAGACTGGCGACGGAAGGAATGGCAGAGATGGGGCCAGCGCTAACCTTAAAGCACCTAGCCCCAGGTATCAAGGCGCAAATCCAGGGCTGGACGCACGGGGTCCTTGACCAACCAATTTGGCGGGGCATTTGATATGCTCAACGACGTCTCTTCTCGCGGACCCAAGGTTGATGAGAACGCGACATCCAACAAGCGACTTGCACTGGATCATGGCTCGTCATTTGAGCCACGACGAAGTATGTGTCTCGGTTCCCTTTTATCTTTCTTATTTTTATTTTTTTCTAACCTTGTATTCCCCCGCACCACGCGCAGGCTGAGCTGACCGAGTTAGTTCTTCGGCAAGCTAGCCGACCTTTTTGAGCAGCGCAGGAGCAAAGGCCATGGCTCCATCTTCCTTGTTCAGAAGCGACGTATGCGAATGAGCCCGGGACAGGAGAGTAGAATTACACTAACCCCGGCGTCTATAGTCTCCTACGGACAAGATGTTCCCGCTCCGACAGATACTGATCCGTTTCCGGACCTAAACCCAACGAAACCCTTACCCGTGCTGGTCCGCGCCTCCAACGGCAAATCCAAAAAGCACCGAGATGCAAAGATCAAATTGTCCACCGTTGTGGAGGTGGATGCCTTGGACGCCTTCTACACTCGATATGCCGACCTATGCAAGAGCGGGATGGCTGCTCTCAAGCCCAGGGACAGAAGCAAGAAGAAGGCTAAGGCCCGAAAAAAGAAGGGAGGAGCGCCAACAGCTACTGCGTCCTAACGAATTGCGACTGAAGAGCAACCTTCAACAGCCGCCTATTAACTACAGCGGCCAAGGAGCCCCACGAACTTTCTGCGCAACATAGCCATCGGGTGAAAATCGAGCTGGAGACGATCAGGAAGAAGATGGAGGAAGGGCAGACCGGGCAGGACTGACTGCGAACCCGGATCCCTCTTACTGTTTCGGCTATCCTTTTTTTTTTTTTTTTTGGGCTGTAATTCTCCAGCTGACGATGGGATGTAAGCGAGTATGTTCTACAGACCGTTTATTGAAGGGTGTTCATCCCGCGATTGCTACCACGCAGATATACGTTCAGACGCAGATAGCCCCGCGAGATGCCAGGAACGATTCGGAAGGCTATTCTCTTGTGAAAAATACATGGCAGATCCTACGACTCCAACTCCGCGTCTTCATGCCCCACAGCGCTATTTGCCTGATGAACAAGTGCTGCAGTCACCGGGCAATGCTCCATATCCAGAGCAGAAATAAGCGTCATCATCAAATGCTTCCAGTGCCTCCCTGACTTGTGTACATGCTCCGCACTCACCTCGCCCTGGTCTTTTTGGATTTCCTACATACATACACAAGCTCTCCGGACATCGGGAAGTTGGGTCGCTGCTTTCGCAACTTGCTAGTTTCTTGTGGCTCACCCATCTCGCGCCACAGGTTGGGCACCTATGTAGATGAAGCTCGCACATTTGCTCTTTGTTTTTAGGTACGTAATATTGATAGGTCCAATGCTGTGGATGTCATGCAAAAGCTTGACATCCATCTTGCGTTGTGGCAATTTAGGGCTTATATGTGATGTTTGAGTCGTGGACAGGCTGGCGAAACCGGAATCGCGGTTAGCACACTCCCTTGCTGCAAGAAGGCTGTGAAGCTGATCGGAGGTGCCGATGGAACGGATACGCAACCAGCCAGCCGGCGTCCCAGTGGATGTGACGTGCTGAGCGATGACTAGAGGTGCGTCAAGTAGTCTCCAGGGGTAGCAAACAGCAGGAAACTGACCGACAGGAATGATCTAGAGGGAAAACATCTGCAGTGTGATGACGACCCGAAAGGCTGGTGTCGTGCCAGATCTATTGCTGCGGGTAATTTTCAAACAAGAGGGTTCCCGAGAACCAAGCACATTTCAACTCAGATTGTACATTGAGTATCGTCTTACGGCCCCTGACAACTTGAGCAGCGGATTGCTACGAACGAGTTTGATCCAGAGTCATTGACTGCTTGCTGATTTTTACCTGTGTTGCGGTATCTGACGCAACCACCGGCTGAACATCATCACATGCAAAGTTCATGTGCTATTCGAGGTAAATTGCAGGTAAGGGGCCCTGAACAGGCTATCTGCTTGTTGATGGGAAAGACTGGGCCGCTGCCCGAACTGAGACTCCCACGAACTCCGTAATTAGTATCAAGCGAAGTTGGGCCAGCCCACCAAAGCAGCTGGACTGACATCCGCGTGGTCCGAGAGACCCATCCTAGCTAACGAACCACGTTATATGAGATGTCGTGTAGAATACGACCGACACCTTCAATGTTCGACCAGCCATGCACAACAAAGCCCAGCCCCCCTGTAAAACTTGATGGATCGGAATGATGAAACTTTTTTTTTCTTTTTTTCGTCGCAGCGCAAGTGAAAGCCAATTTGAAATGAAAGTGCAGACTGCGATTGAGAGTGGGTACAAAAACAATTTGTCGGCAGTGTGATATGGAAATGTGCCGTTTTGGGTGGTCTATCGACCGATATCGCGAACCTAGACACGAAATTGTGTCGAACTTATTCGGCAAGTTACATGATTTGGTCTTGCGTTAACCCGGCATGCGCGTCAGTCTCCATGCTATCGCCGCCACCAGCCGCATTGAGATAGCGGACGAAGCTAAGGCCCAAAGGACGGCCGCCGTACTGATAACCCTGGAATTTGGCAATCGCGGTTTCTGCAGTGTCTGCAGAGTCGAACCGCACAACGCCAGTACCACGCGAGCGCCCGCTAGGCTCGTACTGGATCTCGGCCTGTTCAACCTTTCCGATAGTAGTGAATAGCTCTACGAGATCCTCGTTGCTGGTGGACCACGGCAACTGTCAACTATTAGCACCGACATTTCAACGGATTCACAGCTATTCGTCAACTCACGTTGCGGACATAGATCGTCTCGCCGCGATCGGTTCCGGCAGTAGCGAAGTCGGTAAATGGGTTGGGAGGGACGGAAGTTGCGTTGCCGGCATCGAAGCCCCCTCCACCACCACCGCCTCCTCCCGAGAAGCCGCCACGGCCATAGCCACCGCCGCCGCCGAAGCCGCCACGACCACCGAATCCACCGCGGCCGTAAGCACCACCGAAACCGCCGCGCATACCGCCGAAACCGCCACGACCGCCAAAACCCATGGGGCCACCCGCACCGGCGAACCTGTCCTCACGAACCTCGAGAAGACGACCCTGCCAGTCATAGCCATTGAATTGCTGGATAGCAGTGCGGGCATCGTCAGGGTTCTCAAATACTACTATCCCTGATCCCTTTGGACGGCCATCAGGACCAAGATGAACATCGGCACGAATGACAACTCCGTTACGAGCTTTTTTCAAAGTGTAAGTTAATGACCAAAAGTAATGGGAGCAAGGCTGCGTTGTAATTGCGAACTTACCAGCTTGCCTGAAGAGATCTTTGAGGTCTTGCCAGCCAACAGTGTAGGGGAGCTGTGACATTCGTTAGTTGACAAATGGCGACATTCCGAGCCTGGATTGGGTGGAATGGGAACAAACGTTGGCCACGTAAATCTGTCGGCTACCACCAGCGTTGTAGCCGCCACCGCCGCCACCTCCGCTGCCGCCGCCGCCGAAACCGCCAGGGTTTATACCGCCTCCGCCAAAGCCGCCGCGGTTAGCTGTGGCGCCGATGAAGCGAGGCTCAGCCTCGCGATCCTGCAGTTTGTGGGTCAGCCAGGAGACTTCGCTTCGTCAATAGCAGTGCTGCCAGTCATGACTTACTTCTCGAACATAGACAAGTCTGCCCATGAGGTTCTGGTTACTGAGCGTTGCCACAGCGTTCTGGGCTTGCTCCCTCGTTGCATATTCCACAATTCTGCATATTTTGTCAGCGTCGCGAGCCCACAGGAGATAGTTTGTGAACGAGCTTACCCGCATCCCTACATAGACCCGTGGACACACGTCCCAACCCGTCAATCCAACAATTCCATCAATAACCAGAGGGAAGAGACCACAAAAGAAAACCAGCCATAGACTACGTGTAGACGCCCACCTTCGACATTCCGTTTGGAAGTAATAGCACGTCGGCGAAGAGAACTTCTCCGGCTAGGAAAGGAAGTTAGTCCAGTTCAATGAGCAACACAAGACCACAGTCGCATCTTTGAAGAAACACAGTGTCTTGATGGTGCAGTAACAGATGGGAGGGGAGCTCACCTTGTCGCATGAAGTCCTTGAGGTGATGCCATTTGACATCGTAGGAAAGGTTGCCGACGTAGACGCGTCGGTCCTGTTGCGAAGTCTCCCTAATGTTGCTCATCATTTGCTCTCTAGCAGCTGCGCGCTCTTCGTAGGATCGATGCTGAGGCGCCCCTCCGTACCCAGTGCTAGATCCTCCAGACGGGACTCCGGTGCCAGTCATGGGTGAACGATCTCTTCTTCCACGGTACTCGTCTCTACTGCGCGATCGACTCCGCGGGGAAAATGAGCGACGTCTTGAGGCGCGATTGGGGCTGCGTGAACGTCCGCGTCGAGGGGATCGAGATCGCTCCCGCTGGCGAGTGTTAGCGCTATGTGCCGCCATCGAGTATAGCGTGTCGACAGCAGCGGGATGCTTGGAGAGGCAGAACTGGATGGAGGAAAAACGGCGTTGGGGAGGGGAGATGCTTTGGTAACAGTAACGTGGCGGGATATGGAAAGTGAGATAGGGTGAGGGAAGGGAGGCGCCAGAGGCGGCTCAGAAGGAAGGAATGGATGCGGCGAGTGGGTTTAGATGAGAAGGTAGGGGTGGAAGGTGCACCGAGAACTCCTGCGCCGCCATAGCCAAAGCCAACCTTCAAAGCTCCATCTGGTCGTCTCTGTACGCCTCGTTCCACTCTGTAGGAAAGAATCGCAAACCAGAAGCGGAGGTAGGCTTTGGCAGAAGCGCCGAGGGGCAAAACAGCTAAGCGCGAGGTAGAGCAGGCGGGCAGGCAGGTAGATGAGCGGGTGATTTTGGGCATGAAACTGAGCAACATGGGCGCAAGTTCGAGTAGGCTCGGAGGTACGTCGCCAGCAGAAAGACAATGGGCCTGGGGGGCTCAAAAGGTCGGCCGGCTCGAAGATGTTGCCAAACGTTAGAAGAGATACTTACGGGTCGATAAGTGTCGCCGGAGTCAGCTACGAAAAGGTAGGGTTAGTCGGAAGGCCGAAACCAGGGAGTTTTAAGAAAAGAGTGCCTGCGAGAAGAAAGCAAGAGAACACGAGCAAAGAAGCAGGGAGCAAAGAAGCAGAAACCACGGAGAAAGGGCACCGGCGGTCGATATTTGGATAGCTGGGAAGGGCGGACGTGGGCAGGCATACAGCGAGACGAGGGCGGGGGGCGTAGAGGCACGGTACGGGTCTGGATACGGGAACGGGTACAGCCCATAACGAGGAGAGTGCGGTGGAGAAGGGGCGGAAGAACATGCAGCTACCAAAGGCACGACAGTACGGTAAGGTACGGTGAGGTACCTTCCTTGCCCACGAAGTCGTAAGGAAAGGGAGGGACGGGCAGGCGGGGGGGG